TCGGGATGAAAAGCGGTTCCCAGGGAAGTCTAGGCCCCCCAGATGGGGTCGGAGTAGGTGGGGTCGGAGGATCGCGCCGCATCGCCGCTGCATCGGCGATGCGACTCGATGTGGGGCCCGATTTTCTCCACGCCGACGGCCCCGAGGCATCGCCGACGTCGCCGATGCATCGGCGCTGCATCGTCGACGTATCGCCGATGCATCGGCGATGCAGCGCGGTCCTCTGGCCCCACCTACTCCGACCCCTTCTGGATGGCCTCTAGGGAGGGGTCTGGACCCTCGGGGTCCACGCCGAAAAACCGCGGCGCTGGAGCTCGTGAGACGGGCGTCGGCCGCGGTGCTCTCTGCTCGGAGCCTGGCAGGCCCTACTCCTTCGGCCGCGCGCAGGAGTGGCCCGAGGAAGAGGAGCGATCCCTGGTGGACCTGTTTTCCACCACCACTGCCATAGGTGGCACGGGTGAGCGGGGAGAATGGGGAGGTCCTCCTCCTCCTCCTCCTCCTCCTCCTCCTCCTCCTCCTCCTCCTCCTCCTCCTACTCCCCCTCCCCTTCCTCATCCTCCTCCTTCTCCTCCTCCACCTCCTCCTCCTGCTCCTCCTCCTCCTCCTCCTCCTCCTCCTCCTCCTGTTGCGCGGCGGGTGCCGCGAGTGCATGAACGTTTTTCGCTATTGGTGGGCCCCCAGTCCGTCAATGAGGGTGTCGAAACGAAAAGTAGTTGCCACTTTTGGGAAGGTGCTAAAGGCCCTCTGTGGCAGAAACCAGCGCCGAAGTCGTCACGACACAAAGCTGCCGTAGGCCGTAGGATGGGGAAAGTGGGGGTTACGAAATCTGCTGCATGCAGGTGGCTTCGGCCCCGCCGCGGGGCCCACTCCTCGATACGTGGGCGCCTTCCAGCGCCAGGAACAGCCGCCACGTGAGCTGATTCTCTACCCCCTGCCCTTTGCGATCCTGCCCTCTCGTCCTCCCCGAGATGTCCGCGCGGCTTTCTCGGGTCGGCCTTGAGCCCCGCTCCTCCCGCTCCCCCGTGAGGCGCCTGCGGTGCCGCCACTGCGAGTTGCGCCAGGGAAGGGGCGTCTCCAGGGGGCCCCAGCGCCAGCCCAAGAACTCCGCGCGGGCCACCGGGATTCTGCTCTGCGTTACATGCTAGTTCTTTGCGCCAGCCCTGGCCGGGCCATTCCTATGCTGCGGGTTGGTGTGTACGGTCTCCTGGCGTGGACAAGGACCGGCGGCAAGCGATGGGGGGAAGTGAGAAGGAGAAGGCCTTGTCAGAAGGCGGTGGGGCTTCTCAGAAGCCCTCGCGCCTTCTGGGAAGTTTTCTGTGTCTGCGGGGAAGGCTGGGAGGACTTCTCAGAAGGCCCGGGAGCTTCCGAGCCTTCTGAGACGGCCTGCTCCTTCTCATTTCCCCCCCTCGCTCGCAGCCGATTCGGGCTGGTGTTTACGTTCTCCTGAGTTAGGCAAGGAGGTTCTACTCACCAGCGCAGGGCCCAGGGCGGGACTGGTCACTTCCCCAGTGGTGGTGCATGTTGCTGACGGTTCCCCACCTCTCGGGGGCTGCTGATAGGCGGGGACGGGGGTGTTTGGTCCTTCCCACCGATTCAGCCCAGAACCTTCCCACGTCCTCTCCTCCTCCTCCTCCTCCTCCTCCTCCTCCTCCTCCTCCTCCTCCTCCTCCTCCCCTCTTCCTCCTCCTCCTCCTCCTCCCCCTCCTCCTCCACCTCATCCTCTGCTTCACTTCCTCCGCGTCCTCCTCGTCCTCCTGTGACCTTCCTCCTGCTGTCATTCCTGCGTATCAGTTCCTTCCTTGTCCTCCTCCTCCTTCTTCCCCGTCTTGCTTTTTCCTTATCCTTTCCTCCTCCCTCTCCTCCTCCTCCTCCTCCTCCTCCTCCTCCTCCTCCTCCTCCTCCTCCTACACAGCCATCCTTCTGCTTCCCAGCTCCTCTTTCCCTCTCCTCGTCTTGTGCGTGTCCAGGAGGACAAGGGGGAGGGCAGCGCAGAGCAGGGTGAGCAGAAGCAGCAGCAGCAGCAGCAGGAGCAATCACAGGAGGAGGAGGAGGAGGAGGAGGAGGAGGAGGAGAGGGAGGAATGATCAGGATAAGGAGACGTGAAGTAGTAATTCTATTGTGATGTTTGGCTTAGACTTTGTGCGTGGCTGTCAGCTGCAAAGCGGGGCGCGCATAACTCAATCACAAATCAGGAGGTCACCAGACTCTGGCGGCAATCCCCTTGCCAACCTGCTGAGCACATATTTGAAATAGTGAAGAAATAATGAAACTGATTTGGAGGGTGAGGAGGAGCGAGGATGAGGAGCGAGGCGCGAAGGGCGAGGAGGGGCGAGGAGCAAGCAACGAGCAGAGAGCAGCGAGCAGCGAGCAGCGAGGAGCGAGGAGCGAGAAGGAGGAAGCGCCCCTAGGAAAGGCTTGTGCGCGCATCGCAGCCATTCTGGCTCGTCCGCGAGCCCCTGCCCCGCCCCCCCCCTCCCCTTGTCGGGTCGGGCGAAGGGGGAGGGGCTACTCAGTGTACTGGGGCGCTGCCTTGTGATGATGCGTGTGCGGGGGTGGTTCGTGATTGGTCTTGCCTTGGGACCAGTGCGCAATGTGGCATGTGTGTAGGCATTGATTCCCCCCCCTCAACAGCTTTTCTGTACGGATTCTATCGATGCTTCCCACTGTGGCCCCCCTGGCGTGGTCCTCCATCGTGGCCGCCCATCGTGGCTGCGTGAAGCTGTTTACAGTAGGCTCCTGCGGTGTTGGCGCGCCGGCGACGCTGGCCAAGGCGCTCAAGATTGAAGGCTGTGACGCGGAAGCACCGAGGGACACGGTAACGCCACTGGACCCGACGGAATTCAACCTTGAACGATCGGGGCCGCGAACGGTTCCAGGTTGAACGATCGGCGCGGCGAACCTTTGCGCGCGCCAGCGCGGCACGAACCTTCCGTAGGACCTGCCGTAGGCGTGTCGCTCTGTCTGCTGCTTTGCCGAGGGAGCGGGGGGTGTAACGACTACTGCTGCATGCCGCCAGTTTCGGACCCGTCGCCGTGCGCTTTCGCCGATGCGCTGGCGCTTTCTGGCACCAGAGAAGCTCCAGCCGAGCATCCGATTCAGAAACCTCCCCATGGAAGGTTCGCCAGCGTTGCTTAACCAACTTTGCCGGAAAGCTGGCCCGGTTTCTTGAGCATGTTCTCCCTTCGAGCTTGAACGGCACACATTGGCCCAGGTTCTTTTTCAGAAACATCCGGGAGGCTGGACCAGATTTCTTAAAAGACATGTTGCTTGATCATATGTTCGGCTTTAGCCAACGTTCGCGCCGTGTCGACCCAGCGACGACCCCAGCGCGGGCGTTTAGGGCTGAACTTCGCCAGTGGCCGGGGATCGGCCGGCATCGAACGATCCGCGCTATCGGGCGTCCGTGGTCGCTCAAGATTGAATGACCCACGCGTTGTCAGAAGCCAAGGCCAACGTGGTCACGGCACGAACTTGCTATGGGCGCCCCCAGCGCTGGGAGAGAGGAACACGCTAACGTGAGTCGCCATGAAGGAGTCCTGAGGGTTTCAGCGGCTTCCAGAATCCGAATCTATGATTCTGTCAGAGCGCGGCCCCAAGACTCCCGACTCCTTCCCAGGGGCCAGTTTTCCGCCTCGGATCCACTTTTGATGGCCCTGGGGCCCGACAACGGACCCCAGCGGCCGAAATCGAGGAAAAGCACCCGGGTTGAAAAATTACGCTACCGAGGAACCCCACATACTTTATTATGGCTGGAGTGATGATAGCCGAAGTGAAGCATGTGAGAATGATGTTGGTGGACGTTCCCTGCGCACCCCCTATGGTGTCGAGAAAGTACCACGCCTGCTATGCCCTGCGCCATGGCCCGCATAGACGCCGCGTTCGGGGACCACCCTCTGCGCACCCCCTATGGTGTCGAGAAAGTGCCACGCCTGCTATGCCCTTCGCCAGGGCCCACATGGACGCCGCGCTCGGGGACCCCCCCCTCTGCGCACCCCCTATGGTGTCGAGAAAACGCCACGCTTGCTGTGCCCTGCGACATGCCCCGCAATGACGCCGCGCTCGGGGACCCCCCCCTCTGCGCACCCCCTATGGTGTCGAGAAGGTGCCACGCCTGCGATGCCCTGCGCCAGGGCCCGCAAAGACGCCGCGCTCGGGGACCACCCCCTGCGCCCCCCCCCCCCCCCACGGTGTCGAGAAAGTACCACGCCTGCGATGCCCTGCGCCATGGCCCGCATGGACGCCGCGCTCGGGGACCCCTCCTTCTGCGCACCCCCTATGGTGTCGAGAAAATACCACGCCTGCGATGCCGTGCGCCAAAGCCCACAAAGGCGCCGCGCTCGGGGACCACCCCCTGCGCACCCCCTATGGTGTCGAGAAAGTACCACGCCTGCGATGCCTTGCGCCATGGCCCGCATAGACGCCGCGCTCGGGGACCACCCCCTGCGCACCCACTATGGTGTCGAGAAAGTGCCACGCCTGCTATGCCCTGCGCCATGGCCCGCAAAGACGCCGCGCTCGGGGACCACCCCATGCACACCCCCTATGGTGTCGAGAAAACCCCACGCCTGCTGTGCCTTGGACGACCGTCGTGCTGTGCTGTGCTGAGCTGAGCTGAGCTGAGCTGTGCCGTGCTGAGGTGCTATGATGTGAAGTGCTGTGCTGTGCTGAGCTAAGCTGTGCTGTGCTGTGCTGAGCTGTGCTGCGCTGTGTGGGAAGGAGAAGGAGGAGGAGGGGAGGTGAGTGAGGGTCGTGGATGCGACGCGGCAGGGGTGAAAACCAGAACCCCACGAAACATTTGGGGAATCATTCTGAGATCACCGCTGGGTTTGCTAAGGGGATAGGGAGGGTAGAAGTGGATGCCGAGGCGGGTTGAATCTAGGCCACGTTGAATGTGGCTCGATAGCTCCGCTAAGTGTGCTCCGCCCACGTAAACCGGGTCTGTAAACCCCTTGAGCCACTTAGGGCACTTGCCTCCCTCTTATACGTCAGGTTAGGTCAGACATACCCCACCTTAGCATTCGCTTCTAAGCTTCGAATCCTCTGAGCAACCCCAGCGGTGATGCCAGGATCGTCGGAGGCCTGGGCAAGTGGCCCCTCATCGTCCAGCCCGACGCGCGGCCTCGCGCGCGCGCCGTTCCCGATATCTGGGCGGCTGGCGCGCGCTGCGGACTTATGATCCAGCGCTCCGACAGCTCAGCGTACTGGGACGCCGAGGCCTGGGATCCGGACGAGCGCGTCTACGCCGGCAGCGCGCAGGACGGCTGCGACAGGCTTCCCCCCTCTTGCGAACACAGTGGGTTCGAGGTTCGACGTTCGAGGCTTGAGTTTTTGGGGCGTCTTCACTGTTTCTCGGCGGCTTTCCTGCCTCGGGATGCCTTCCAGCGGCTGCGCCTCGCTGCGGGCGTTCCGGGGGTGCCCAGATCGTCCCGAACGGCCGCTGGAGAGCCAAGTTATTACCCGAAAGCCGAAGGGTGCGAGCGGCGAACGTGTCCGCATCCTGGCCCTCGCAGTCTGGTTTCCAGGGCGCGATCCTGGGGATACGTGGTCGCACGGGTACCTTCCGCGCGGGGAATCCGCGAAAAAACGCCCCGCGTCCGCGGGTTCGCGGCCCAGTGGCCTGGCCCGCGAGGCCGCGGCTACAGATAGGTGTGTTCGCCCACGGGCCTCCTGTCGTTGTGAAAACCTTGGGATCCTGACGTCGCATTTGTTGATTCAACGGGCGATTTTTGTTGCCTTGTTTCGGGACCTTCACGGATCGATCCGGCTTGAAAGATGCTGCAGGAATATGGGGTCCAGGGCTCTGGCCGCCTTTCACGAACGGCGAACACAGCCGTATCCGCGCCTTCGCAGTCAGGCTTCTGGGGCGCGATCCTGGGGATACGCGGTCGCAGGGGTACGTTCCGAACAACGCCCCGTATCCGCGGGGTCGCAGCCCAGGGGCCCCGCCCGCGAGGCCGCGGGTACAGATATGATATGTTTTTCGACCACGAGCCTCCTGTCGTTGCGAAAACCTTGGGGTCCTGACGTCGCATTTGTTGGTTCAACGGGCGATCTTTGCCTTGTTTCGGGCTCTGGGACCCTCACGGATCGACCCAGCTCGAAAAATGTTGCAGAAAGATGTGGTCCAGGGCTCCAACCGTGTTCTTCTTCTTCTTCTTCTTCTTCTTCTTCTTCTTCTTCCTCTTCTTCTTCTTCTTCCTCTTCTTCTTGTTTTCGTTTACTTTGTTCTGTATAGTACTATTGATATTTCGCAGATTTTCGTGACGTCGGATCACAAGGAAGATCACGGCGAGAGGATTCTGGCAGTTTTCGGCCCCCGGGGTGTCGTCATCGGGTCCCAGGACTGTCGAACAGCGACCCAGGATGAAAAGCTGGCCTTGGGGAGAAGGGTTGGGGCTTCTGGGGGCCCGGTATCGAAGAAATCAAGGCATCGGGCCCATTGATTTAGACGTCAAAAGGGCCAATGGTGTCTTTGGCATCCATGTTCCACCGTGGGGGCCTCCTCGCGCTCCAGCTGTCGTGCTCTGACCTCGCAGTTTACGCCCGAGCCCGAGCCTGAGCCTCCTCCCGCCCCTGCAGAACCATAGCATAAGCACAGTGGTAGCCAGCGTGGAGCCCAAACAGGAAGTCATTGCACGGCGGATGGGGGAGCTATGTTCTACAATCTGCGTGGTGACACCATGTGGTGGTGCAGGTAACACGTGGGTGCAGGCTACAGGCGGCAACGAAGCGGCCACGGGCGGCAGCGTGGTGGAACCTCGCTGGGCCCCACGCAGCGCACGTGGCCGCCACTGGCGGGGCAGCGCGGCGAATCCTCGCCGGGCCTCGCCAATGCCTCAGCTGCGCAAGGCAGAGCCCTCAAGTGCAAGCCGACCGGAGCACGAGGAGGAGGAGGAGGAGGAGGAGGAGGAGGAGGAGGAGGAGGAGGAGGAGGAGGAGGAGGGGGAGGAGGAGGAGGAGGAGGAGGAGCAGGAGGGGAGGAGGAGGAGGAGGAGAGGAGGAGGAGGGGAGGAAGGAGGAGGAGGAGGAGGAGGAAGCACGACCGCGCGGAGCTCCGCGCGGGCTGCTGGGAGCGGCGCCGGCCCCCCCCCCCCCTCTGGGCGGCGCCTCCGGCCCCAGAGCGCGGAGGGGGGGGGGGCATCGCCGACCCGAGCAGATGATCCTCGCGGACCTCCGGGAGTCTGCCGGGAAGCTGGATGCACATGGCGATGGCCAGCCGGGGGCGAGAGTTTCAAGCAGTGGCGAAGCGTCCTGGCTTGCCTATAGCCCTACCAGACAATGCTCTGAGAGCCCTGTGTGGTTTCCACGAAATGTTCTTAGAACATTTCTGGCGGAGATTGTCTTGGTTTAACACATGGGGTTTATGTTCTAAGAAGAGTGTTTTTGTTCTTAGAACATATTTGGGCTCTAAGAACATGTCGTGGTAGGTCTATAGGAATGCCGGGACGGTCGGTCCCTGCTCAAGAGTTGGATGCACATGTGCACCTGCCAGAGCAATCTCGGTGGACGCGGAGTCGAGTGGCAGGGCTGTGGTCGGCGTTCCCGGGGAGTGCATCGGCCTCGGCCAGGTCTGGGGCCCTGGAGGGGCTCGACGAGCCCTCGCGTTCCCGTGTTCCCCGGATCCTGGGATGCCCGAAGCGTCTGGTCGCGACTGGCGGGAGCGGCCGCCACCAGATTTGCTTCAAGCCGTGGGATCCTTCGCGACCGATGTGCTTCAGAATCAGCTGCAAGCAGTAGGTCGTGATCGGTCGCGATCGATTTCGGAATCGGCCGCGACCGATTTGGAGTGCCGATCGATCGCTTCCAATCATACGCTGGGCTCTCGCACGTGCACCCAGCGCGTGGCCTCCGAATGTTCCGTTTATGAATCTAGCGAGATCGGTCGCCTGAAAATCCTGGTATCGGTCGCGACTGGCTTGCTTCAAAACCGGTTGCGATCAATCGGTCGCGACCGCTCGCGACCGAAGAAGTCTGGCATGCAATGGTCTGGGATGCGCGCATGGCTGGCAACACGGGCCCAGACATCCAGCCGCTCGAATTGTGTCCCATGCGTGTGCCCTGGAGGTCTGGGCTACTTCCCTGGGTCCGCTTGTTCGGCCCGAGTCGTTTGTTGACGGTCCAGAGGCCGGGCGAGGGCCCCCCGGAGGCAGCAAACGGCCACAAAGGCGCCGCTCCAATTTTCTGCTCGGGGCGTCGGATTTCTGCGGGTGTTCCAGCTTCCCGCAGTTCTGCAGTCTCGTCGTTGTCGTCGTCGTCGTCGTCGTCGTCGTCGTCGTCGTCGTCGTCGTCGTCGTCGTGTTCCAGCTTCCCGGCGCCTTCATGCCGTTCTTTGTTCTTCCAGGTTCGCCGTGGAGAGGCAGCTGTCGAGCGGGGGCGAGGAGGTGCAGGGGCCCAAGCCCGCGGCCGCCGACGGGCAGAAGGGAGACGATCCCGGAGACGACGACGGCAAGTTCTGGGACAACCAGGCTCCGATTGATGGCCACAAAGTCCTAACTTGGAGCCGCCTGGGGGTCTGAGGTGGGCCTGGGCCAGCACTGGTTCTGGCCAGCAGGAAGGCTTGGCAGGTTCGAGCTTCTGGGTTCGGGAAGGTTGTCTGTCCTTTTCGGCCTCCGGGGGCCGCTTTCGGGCCTTGGGACTGTCAGAAGCGGATCTGGGCCAGATGGACCCTGGGAGGGGTCTGGGGATTTATTTTGAGCGGATTTGGTTCCATCCCCCACCATGGCCTTTTTTCTGGGGGCCCAACCAAGTCAGAACCCCCAGCGGTCTCCAACACCAGGTTTATACTACTGCCCATTGCGTCCTGACCCTCATCACTGGATGCCAGCATGTTCTGGTCGCGACCGGCGAGATTCGTCGCTGCCGATTTGTCTTCCAATTCTCGTATCGGGCGCAACCGAGTTGCTTTGACATCGATTGCGACCGATCGGTCGCGACCGATGTTGGAATCGGTCGCGACCGATTTGGAGTGCCGAACGGTCGCCACCAATCGCGACCAAAAAGTTCGGTATCCAATGATCTGAGGAGAGGAGGAAGTTCTGAAGATGTTTCGCCGTTTTTTGGGCCCCAGGGCCCTCCGCGGGCCCCGGGGGGCCGCTGAGAACGGCTCGGGATGAAGAGCTGATCCTGGGGGGAGGACCCGCGGTCTATCGGACCCCTTTTCCTTCAGGAGTCTATACGACAGCTTTTCTTGAAACTCAGCAAGTTGGAAACTGCGGAAGCTTCCATCGGTGGATATTCATAGAATCAGTTGGGGGAATCTCCAAATGGCGTTTCGAATCTCCAGGCGGATCTCCGGCCTGAGTTATGAACCTTCCTGGGAATGTCCTGGGACAGGTTCGAATTCGTATATCTTTAGAATTGTTGGGTAGTTTGTTTGGGTGCTTCCCGAATTATTTACCGGGATAGTTTTTGGGATTGGAAATTTCCCAGGAGATGTTTTTTGGGGGTGAGTTGTGCCAGGGGATTTCCCGGGAAATATTCTAGGTTGGTAGATATCTGGGGACACTTTCCGTGATTGGACCCTTGCTTGGAGGTGTCCAGCGAGATGGCCCAGGAGAGTTGATCGAATGAGTACAAGTGGGGTACGCGTCGGATACATGTGGTGATTATCATGTTTACCAACTGGTTTTCCAGGTTTGGATTTCTTCGGATCATCTCCCAGGTTGGAGTTTTCCTGGGGCATTTTCCGGCTGATTTCCCGGGGTCGGTGATACCGCTTGTGAGGTCGATCGGGGAAGATGCGCTGTGGATATCTAAAGCAGAGTCGCTGCGGGTGACTTGCAATCTAGGCAAGGTCCCCCCAACAGTGCTTGGATGACGGTTTTCTTTCGCTTCTGCGAAATGCATCGGTTCAGGCTCGGTTTCGCTTGATGCGCAGTTGGTGCCCAGTGGGTGCTCGCCCGTGGGCGCCTCGTGGGCGCCTCGTGGGCGCCTTGTGCGCTGGGCGGGTCGGGCCTTACCCCGGCGCCCTGTGGGTGCCCGCCTCGCGGGCGCCTCGGCAGCGCCTCGTGCCTGTGCAGTGCTCGCCCGCGGGGCGCAGAGTGGGCGACTCGCGCTGACCGCCACACAGCCTGCACCACCTAGATAGCACCACCGCAGCTTGGACCACGCAGCTTGCACCACACAGCTTTCACCACATGGCGCACCATGCAGCTCACACCACATAGCCTAAACCTTATCCGCTGACGCTGCACCACATACACGTTGCACAAGGTAGCTTGCACCACGTAACTTAGGTCACATAGCATGCAGCACATAGCTTATACCAGCTAACATGCACTACAGATCACACCATAGATGTCGCCGCGCCGTTTGTTCCAACGCGAGGCCTTACGTCTTGGAGAGGGCGCCGCGGACACCAGGGCAAAGGCCGCCTCGCATGCGCCAGCTTCGTCGTGGGTTTGCCGCGGTGCCAGCGTCGTCTATAGTTGGGCGCGGGGCGCAGGGTTTGCCGTAGGTTTGCCGTGGTATCGGCGTCGTCCACTTGAGCGCGTCGAGAACAAGCGGCGCGGTGACGCCATATCGCTTACATCACATCGTTTTCACCACTTAGCTCGCACCACATCAAATACCACTACGTACTTCTTAAATCAGCGGGCGCCAAAGCGCGAAAGAGGTCAGGCGCCAGTCGGGCTAAAGGCGGGACGCGCCGATAACAAATTGAAGCCGAGCAGGAAAAAGAGAGACGGCGATAGGGGGGGGCCGTTCAGAACATGCAGTTCGAAGCGGGGATGCCGGAGTGCAAGGTCGCCTGCAACAAGTATCCGGGTGGGCCAGGGTTTCGCCTCGTGCCCGGTTGGTGGCTGCCCGTGGGTGCCGCTTACGCGGCCCGTGCGATGGGTGGGTGTGCGGGGGTTTCGCCAGCTGCCTGGTTGGTGGCCGCCTGTGGGCGTTTCGTGGCCGCCCCGTGCGCTGGGTGGGGGTTGCTGGGGTTCCCGCCCGTGGGCGCCTGGTGGGCGCTCCGTGAATGGAGTGCACCACATCACTCGCAACACACAGCTTGAACCTCATAGACTGCATCGCGCAGCTTGCATCGTACCTGGAGGGCGACATTGATTGCAACGTGCAGCTTGCTTGCGCCGCACATCCTGCACCTTCGCCTCACACAACTTGCGCAATAGCTACAAGGCAAATCTTGCAACACATGCGATGCACCATGCGCAAAATGCATCACATTAGCTTGTAACGCACAGCTTGCATCATGTCTATTGCATCACATAGCTTGCATCGCACAGCTTTCATCACATAACTCGCACCACATGTTTCCGACCACAAACCTTGCATCACATCGTTTCTGTTCTCAAAAGAGGAACGCCCTCCCCCGCGCCCGGGGTAGATGCCCCTTTCTCGTATTGCAGTGTACATGTGATCATGTCTTGTCGTTCATTTTGAATATGAAGTCGTACCATCCCAGCCCAACTGGTATCGACCCCCCTCCTCATCTGTGCCAAACGGTATTATGTGTGCACGGTCGTTTACCTCAAACAGTATTTTGTCAATGACCCTTACACAAACACGCAAAGACACACACAAATACAAACACACACAATCACCCACACACACACAACGTCCACGCGCGCGCGAGACAAACCTGCCCAATTTTTGAATTTCTGAATTTCTGTGCGTGTTTCCTCACCATCGCTCTCATCAGCGCCATCGCATCACCGCCGCTATCGCCATCGTCAATCGCGGCCATTGCGGCCATGATCAGCACAATCACCCTCATAACCGACGCATGGTCATCATGGTCATCGTCATCACCAACATCGGCACCGTTATTGGTCTTGCCGATGTCATAGTCATTGTCATCTCATCATCGCCACCATCATATACTGTATCATCACAGTTTCCGCAGTTGCCGACGTCATCTCGATGTCGCGCCCGCCCGAGTCGCCGACCCGCACAGAGGTCCAGCGTTGCCTTTGACACGCGCTGGGAAGTTCCCATCGACAAGCGCCATCGTGGCCGCACCAGTTGCGCGACATCAGCTGGCCGCTCTTCGCGGGAGCGTACTTGCGCCAGTGCGGCTTGCTGCTTGAGGCCGACGTTGGCTACCAGATTTTGTTGTCTTAAGCAATTTGATGGAGTTCTGGGTTCTCGCCCCGTGCCACATTTCGGCACCTCGTGTTCGCCCTTTGTCGAGCGTTCGTTCTGTGTTTGTGTCTGGTGCACGCTTGGTGCCCGCCTCGTGGACGCCTTGTGCCCTCGTATGTCACCCAGCTTGCACCACATAGCTAGCACCATGTAGCTTGCACCTGGGCCCGCGCAATTGTTTTTATTTTGTGATTCTGCGTGTGATTGTAGGCTTGATCGAACACAGCCAGCGCTTTTGTTTTGCTTGTTGTTGCTCTTGCTTGTTTTGGGTTGTTTGTTGTTTGATTGCTTCCGCGTTTATGTTTGCTGCTTAATTGAGTTTGGAAATTATTTCTTCGGCTGACAGGGCTTTCCAGCCTAATTAGAACTTCACCGATTGAAAACACAGGTGGGCGATGCCGCGGGGTTCGCGATGCCCGCGATGCTCAGGCAGTTGTCGCCCGTGGGAGAGTTTGAAGTGAAGCTGGCATCCGCCGAGATGCCTCCCGCCGACGGCACCGACTACTGGGATACTGGCATCTTGGGCGTGGACGCCCCACCCGCGCAGCGGCCGCCGCCCGCCGCCAAGAGCGACAAGGGCGACAGGCCCAGCATGAAGCGCGTGGACAGCGGCAGCTACTGGTTCGCGGAGCAGTGGGACCCCGACTGCCGTGTGTACACCGGCGCGGAGGCCGGGCAGGGCAACCACCTGGTCGCGGTGCTCGAGAGCGGCGGCGAGCAGGTCTTCCGCACGTGGTTCGGGGGCCTCACGTCGCGCACCCTCGGCACGGAGGCGGAGATAGGCGCCCCGATCACACTCGCAGAGTACATGGGCTCCTCCCCCAGCGTGAAGGACCTGTACGACATCGAGGCCCGCTCGGTTGGCGCGGGCGCCTTCGCAGAGGTGCGGCCTGGGAAGCACAGGGCCTCGGGCACCAGCTGCGTGGTGAAGGCGCTCAGCAAGATCGACGTCGGCCCCAAGTATCTGAAAGCGGTTCAGGACTTCACATACAGGATGCTGCTGAAAGCGTCGCTGGAAACGCCGCACGAGAATCTCGTGAGGTACTTGGACTTCCTAGAGGGCCCCGACCACTTCTTCGTGGTCATGGAGCAGCTGGAGGGGAACGACCTTCTGGGAAAGGTGGAGGCCGACCACCCCTTCGAGGAGGCGTACGTCAGGAAGGTCTTCCAGCAGGTGCTGGTGGCCCTGGATCACCTCCACTGCACAGTGGGCCTGGCACACCGCGACGTGAAGTTGGCAAACTTCCGCTTCCGCTCGGGCAGCGATTCTGGCCTGGCCTTGCTGGACCTGCAGTTCTGCTGCCCGGCTGACGCGGACTGGGACCAGCAGGCTTGCGGCACACCCGCGCTCATGGCGCCCGAGGTGACCGCCAAGGCCGTGCAGAAAGGCCTCCTGACGGCGACGGACGTGTGGTCCGCCGGCGTGATATTCTTCAGGCTCATGGCCAAGGATTTTCCGTTCGCGGATCAGCAGGAGATGGACGTGGTCTCGAAGCTCGGCCCGGAGGCAGCGGCGCTGGTCGACCGGGCGGTGGGCAGCCCCAAGCTGGCCGGCTACTCTGGCGAGGCGCGGGACCTCCTGCGTTCGTTGCTGACACTGGAGGCGGGCCAGCGGCCGACGGCCAAGCAGGCACTGGAGCACGCGTACTTCAGGTAGACTGCCACAGCAGGAGCAGGTCTGCCGAATCAGCCTTGGTTGTTGAGGTGCATAGCCGCAGGTGATGGCCAGGCGTGTTGTAAATAAGAGCGCAGTGTAGGAGTCCGTGGAATATCCGGTCGCCAGAAGCTGGTGCTTCACAGTCGTCGACGCATCGCGCGGGTGGTCATTGCCGTCGTCATCTTCCGTTGCGCAGGCTCCGTTTGGGAAAACTGATCATTAAGGCCGCATGGCGGAAGTCATATCTGACCCTCAAGGGGAAACTACCGTACGAATCTCACAATCAGTGGATGTTCCAAGGCTTCGGTTTCGATGAGAGTTTGTAACACTTGTTTCACGTTTTCTCTTGGGGGCCATCGTGGCTTCCCCAAGGGGTTTGGACATCCTGTGGACTCTATGGGCTAGTCGTTGCAATGCCCCCACACATTCCAAATATAGTGGGGGCATTGTGTAAGCCGCCTTGTTCCCTGCAGCCGACGGCCATCGCCTTTAGAAACGATCGTGGCCCGTTGGAGAGTCGCACAGATCAGGTTTTGCAATCGATGGGCGCTTGGTTAGAGGGAGATGGCTTTGGTAAAGTGGATACGCGCCGTTCCATGTTTTATTGGGCCGCTGTGGTGATCGTGGGGCGTTCTCTCCTACGACATGTTGTGCCGTGTTGAGTCACCTCTGGAGCTTGGGAGCACTAGTCACTCTCTTCGTTGCCGATCTTGAAGTGCGGATCCGTTCCAAACTCGCAGTCATTCAGTGCTCGAGGTGTGGCTGCCACAATGGTAGGTACCCAGGGTTGCAATCTTCCTTTTGACCGTTGGGACGTCCTTTCAACACTCCGTGTTCAACAAAGAACCACAACCACAGCAAAGTTGATTTGTCGGGAGAGCCTCTTGGGGGAGAACCCACTTGGCCGTCCTGGGACACCACATCGAAGTACGAAGCTGTTTTCGGTGTTCCGACAATTCCTGGCATGCGCAAGGCATCACCCAGGGTGTGTCCTCGATGTGGTTGTGGTCGCTTGCTGCCCCGCAAACAGGGCCTGGCCAACATGTAATCCCAACGGGTACCGTTGTGGGTTCACTGGGCACGAAGTGCGTGAGAGGTGTGCCGATTCGAGGCTCCCCTTGGACGGTCTTGAGGGCCACAATCAGAGCCACCGTAGGGGCCATGGGGCACGACGTGTGCGAGGAGTGTGCCGAACCGCCTTTCTTGTGTGCCGTCTTGGAGGGTTAGCTAGGGGCCTCTGGGGATCCATGCGGCACGAACTGTGTGAGGGCAGGGCCAGCTGATCGCTTCTGAGGACCCGCTGGTCACGAGGTGCGTCAGGTGTGTCGCAACTGGAGGCTCCCATGAGCCGTCTTGGAAGGCCAGCTGGCCACCTCTGGAGGTCCATGATGCGCGAAGTGAGGACGGGGTGTGCCGAATCAAGGCCCCACCGAAAGTGGAGGAGCACCGGTATTGCCTACGCAGCCCACACCACTCCGAAGCGCTTTTCTTTTGCGCCGTCTTGGTGAGCCTGTTTGCGGCCTCTGAGGGCCCATATATGGCACGAGGGGCGTGAGGGCGGGCCCAGCTGGGGGAGCCTGAGGGCAGGCTGTCGTCGAATTGCGTGAAATAAGTGTGTGTGTGTGTGTGTGTGTGTGTGTGTGTGTGTGTGTGTGTGTGTGTGTGTGGTGTGTGCGTGTGTGCGTGTGTGTGTGTGTTGTGTGTGTGTACTGTGTGTGTGTGTGGGGGTGGGGGGGGGGAGGGAGTGTGTATGTGCGTGTGCACGCGCGCGCGTGTGTGTGTGTGTGTGTGTGCGTGTGTGCGTGTGTGTGTGTGCGGTGTGAGAGAGAGAGGGTGTGTGTGTGTGCGTACGTGCGTGCGTGCGTGAGTGCGCGCGCGCGCGTGTGTGTGTGTGTGCGTGTGTGTGTGTGTGTGTGTGTATGTGTGTGCGCGTGTGTGTGCGTGTGTGTGTGTGTGTGTGTGTGCGTGTGTGCGTTCGCATTTGTGTTTTTTGTTTGTGTGTGTGGTCGTGTTTGTTTGTGCGCGCCAAAGTGGAGCCACCATGACTCGTCTTGAGGGGCCAGCTGGCCTTCCCTGGAGGTCCATGATGCACGACGTGCGTTTGGGGTGTGCCGTATTGAGGCTCCCAGGGGAATAGAAGAGCCCAGATTCGTTGTTTGGACAGGTCCCAGGGGCCCCACTGCCTACCACCTTCGGCAAGATTAATCTCAAACAGGTGTTACCCAGTTTTCTCGCCGATGTGATACCCTGGGTTTCGGTGACATTGCATACCAAATACTTGTTGGCGCCCCCCTCTCCAATGTCGGCCGTTGTGGAACTTCTGGGTCACGCCCGCTCAGACAGCGTTCCGCCTTGCTTCGACATCGAAGGGGGGCGAGATTGAAGGGGTGAGTGGTGGCGACATTGAAGGGGTGCGCCAACCATTGTTGAGGTTAAGGTTGCCGATGTTTGTAAGTCATCCGTGTTCTTACACGCCACTGGGGCCCGATCGTACAGAGCATGATCTGCAGTTTTCCACGCGTGGCCCAGGACATTCGCCAGCCGACTGCGCGGCGCCGCTCCCAACGTGCATGTATGTATGCACGTACAGTCGGACCCGAGCTATAAGGTCGAGGTCGGTTCGGGCATGGTACCATGATGTTGCAGTCAAGACGCTGAAGTAAAGAACAGTTTGGGTACGACAAGGGCTCAGTGTTCCTTAGGTCTCTCCATGGCTTTTCCTCCAGCCTTCCTCGTGCGCGCAGGCGCTTTTGGGGCAAAAATGGGGCGTCGTTCCTTAGTTACCGTTCCTTCTTTCAAGGGGGTCGAGTGTACCTTCGGAGCTTGACGCTGCGAGAGCCCGCATGGAACCCGCCGAATTCAATTTCTTCGCGCGTTCCGCCCGCCCACGTCGCATCACCGATGCCATCTGCTTGTGTCCTCGTTGCGACTGGGAAGTATAGCAGGTTTTCATAACAGTCGCATGAAGCCTGCACTGGGGAGAAGAGGACGCTGGGTAGAGGGCAACACTCAATGGAGCACGTCCCCTCCCACGTTTCACCGTCGAAGTCCAAAGCCATGACGATGGAAAAGCCATGGAGTATGTAAAGACTTTAAAGCTGGTGGCTTTTTGGGATTCGCTTGGGTGACCCCGAGTAGTCTCCAGGAGTCTTATCTGGGTAAACTGGGGTCCTCCCAGGAAGTTCTTGGAGCTTCTTGGGGACTGCCTTGGATCGTTGTGGCCACCCATCAGTACTTCTGGAGCTTCTCTAAGCGATGCTGGGGCCATCATGGGGCCTGTCACCTATTGGCCCCCGCTGACGTGCCAGTGTTGTGGCCCCTCGTACCCCTCTTGGAGCCATCTTGGAGCCCTTTTGGATTTCTTTGTGAGCCATCTTGGGCGATCGTGGGGAAACGCTGATGGGTCCCCAGGAGCCCGCCAGGAGCAAAGCAGCCACAAGACGGCGAAGCTCTTTGAACATCCCTTAGTTGTTGGAGGATTGGGGCCTCTAGGCGACCTCTCGGGGCGTGCCTCAGGGTTATACCCAGGGGCAACGATAAGGGTGGTTATATACTCAGGGGGGGACGCATCAACTCCCAATCGCCCACTGATCGGCGATAGGGCACGATAGCCCGCTCCGCCCAGGAACGTGCGGTTTCGCTATCGGGGGCCTGTTGCCGATCCATCGGCGCTGTATCGCCGATGCCAGGTCGACGTTCCCCCCCTGTGCCAGGCTCCCCCCTGTCGTTGCCCCTGATATATTCGGGCTTTCGCCCCCGCCCCCGATCTCAATGCTGAGTCAGCCGTGGCCGACGAAGTAAACGTAGAATCGCGCGGTGTCCCGCGTGAACATTGACATCGAGGGGCGAGGGGGATAGCGCGCGAGAGTTGCAGTGCAGTTCTTTTCTTCCAAGGTAGTGTAGGACTGTCTTGGGGCCTTCTGAGTATCTCGGGCGATTTTTTACTCAATCCCCAGGTCGCCCCCCCCCTCCACAAACAAACAGGGCCATTGCCGCTCGGATCGGATGGGGAACTCGGGGGTACACCCTAGGGGAGCTGTTCGCACGCACCTCTATCGAGGATGGACTCCCCCCTATCGTATATTCCCGAGTTGGGCCTCGAATTGGATGTCCAATCGAAGACTCTAGAAAGTCTGGGGTTAGGTTCGTGCACCTCGTGCTGGTGATTCTGGCACGCCTTTGGCCCGTGGGGCCGGCGAATTGCTGCGCCTTGAAGGGGTTGTGATTTTTCAAGCCAGGTTTCCCGCAGAACCCCGCACAGCATGTGAATTTGGGGCGCGCCTTGCGTGCTGCACCCATGCTTTATTTTCAATGCTCGTGACTCGTCAGGTAAGTGTCGCTTCGACTTTGGCTGTTTACTGTATGTTCCGGCGCGCGTCTGGGCCGAGCGTTGTATGGTAGACTCGTATCGTGCCGACGCGGCGGTGACCCCAGCCGCGGGCGTTCGAGATTGAACGCCACCAGCGGCCCAGCACAGAGGAGGAGGAGGAGGAGGAGGAGGAGGAGGAGGAGGACGTGCGAACGAGGCGCGCCACAGGAAGGTTGCGGATGGTCAGGACCGAACGAGCCAGATTGTGCCAGAAGCCAGCGCAGAAGCCGCTACGACACGAGCCTGCCGTGGGATCCTCACTGCCCAGGCCCTGGAGGCTTCTCGCTGCTCGTGCGGCCAGAGTCATTCGTCTTTCGGCGCGCGGGAGAAAAGCGGCCAGTGCGCGCGAGCCGCGCCCGCCGCCCGCCGGGGCACGAGGGAGGGAGGCCCCTGGGGGACCCGGCTCCCTGTGCAAGGAGTTGCCGTCTCTTCCGCGGCAGAAGGCGCCGGAAGGTCGGCGGAAGTAAAACGAGGCCGCCTCCGCTTGCGGAAGCTCGGCGGAAGTAAAAGATGCGCCCCCAAGAGATGAGCACGTTCTCGGATGCAGGGATTCTGAAATCGCCCATGTAGAAAAGCACACCCCGTTTGGGCGTTGCATGGCCATGTGTGTGTGGCTTGAAGGCGTCAGCACCCAGGCTTGGTGGCGGTGTCTCGTCTTAAGGGTGCATGCCGCGGGCCTCGGGACTGACCAAACGGATCTGAAAGGACCCCACCCCTCCCCCACGTCAGGGGAAGGGGTCCACCTCCCCTTCAGGGGAAGGGGTCGAGAGGTCCAGAGGTAAGCGAAATCGAGCAAAGCTGAGTCGTCGGGGGGGCAAGCGAGATCGTCGGAGCCCTGATACGGGCAGAGGACGGAGGTGGGAGGGGGCAGGCGGGAACGGGGGGGGGTAGGAGGGAATGGGGGATGAGCACATTCGCGTGGATGATATCTGGGGGGCTGGGGGTCGTTATGGAATACGCCCGGGGGCTCAGACCCTGGAGCATTCCTCGTCGGATAAGGGCGGCGGTGATATCCATGGCCGATCCACGGTCGGAGTTCCACTGGCTTCAGACCAGACCCTGGAGTCCTTATGGAAGGGTTCCTTGCGCTGCCGCCGTGGGCAGCCTGGAGCCAACTTTGGGTCCTGGGGGGAGAGGGTCCTCGACACAGGAGCTCCCCTCGCGGGAGCGGCTTGTCATCCTGAGCCATCAATGTTCGACAGTCCCGAGCTCCATGGAATGGCCGGGAAAGACGAAAATTAAGGAGGAGGGAGGAGGGAGGTGAGGAGAGGGGGCGGGGGGGTGGACGGAAGGAGAGTAGAGGAGGAGGAGGGAAGGCGGGAGGAAAAGAGGTAGGAAGGAAGGAGGGAGTAGAGTAAGGCCTAAAGAAGAAGAACACTGTACGACAGAGAGTGGTAGTCATAGCCGTGATAGTAAGGTCGCAGTAGTAGTAAGAAGTAAGATATCGTTAGAATTCGACAGAACGTATCGTATAGAAGTACGAACTCGAAGGTAGTAGAAGTAAGAAGTAGTCTAGTCGTATGGGGTCTAAGTATTAATACGAAGTAAAGCAGTAAAGACAGTTTGAGTAGCTTAGTAGTATCAGAAAAAATAGTCGCAGCGAAAGAGTAAGTAGTAGTAATAGTAAGAAGTAGAATATTATAGAGTTAGTTAGTTATTTAGATATTTAAATAGTAAGTAGTAAGTAGTAGTAGTAGTAGTAAGTAGTAGTAGTAGTAGTAGTAGTAGTAGTAGTAGTAGTATAGTAGTCGTAGTAGTAGTAGTAGTAGTCGTAGTAGTGGTAGTTGTGGCAGTAGTAGTAGTAGTTGTAGTAGTAGTAGTAGTAGTAGTAGTAGTCGTAGTAGTAGTAGTACCTCTAGTATTAGTAGCACTTGTGGAAGC